GTGTAGGGGTTGGGGTTAAGGTTGTTCTTGTGGTAGGGGTCTTTCGGTGAGATTTTGGAAGGGTGTAGGGGTTGAGGCGTTGGAGAGGTGGAAGGTTGAGAAGGTGCTTTTTTTTGGATAAGGGTGTATGGAGGGGTTTTTGGGTCAAAATTGGAGGGTTGGATTGGTATGTAGTGACGGAAAGGGTGTTGAGGCATAGGGGGGGGTCTAGCGGTTGAAAATGGGCAAGGTCATTGCTAACTGCTTTTGGGGTCTGGGGCAGGCGGTAGCTGAAAAGTTCGAGTTTAGAGCAAGTCAAGGATAGGCCCAGAGAGGCCAATACCCTCTTAGTTAAGGAATATACCTTAAATGAAAGGGACCTTAATATTGTAGTTTAAGGTGTATTCCTTAATTAAGCGATATACCTTAAATGATAGGGACCTTAATATGATGGTTTAAGGTATATTCCTCTCTCGGGGGGCTGCAACTTATCTTTTGCAGTGTATTACAGAATGGTAGTATGATATGATATAATATTTCATACAATATGATAACAGTATATTATAGTATATTGTACTATAGAGTGCCAGCAGAACTACCGTGTCCTTAGGGCACCTAAAGACACGTGATGGCCAAACCACCCGAGCCCTGGCTGGCCAAGAATTCGTGAGCCCCACATGGGGCTGTGGGGTGTCGGCCTCGGGTTGTTGAGGGGGTACTTGGAGGTTCATGGGTAGTTATAAGTCGGGTTATAAGTAGGGTAACTATAGTTATAACCCATATTAGGGGACTTATAACCCTACTTATAACTACACATGAACCTCCAAGTAGGGCCGGGTAGGGCCTTCTGCAAAGGACGAACCCACACACAGGGACAGACTCGCGGCTCCTCGAGCCTACAGCGCTATCTACTCCCCTTACCCAGGTAGCCTATACTACCCTGAAATACCCTAAACCTTAATCACCTACCTACACTCAGTACCTCGGAACCTGTCCTCAGGCTTTATGGTGGCAAAGGTCTTGCAAAGGCTCAGAGTCTTAGGATATAGCAGCTACGAGCCTCGGGGTTCTTGGGGGAATTTCTCTGCGCCTTTGGGAACGAAGGAACCAGGATCGCTCCAAGCTATACAAGGACTGCAGGGACGAACATGATAGCGGACCGTGCTTAAGATATCCTACCGTTTCGCAGAAGTCCCCCTTTGCTCGAATGCTTCAGTGAACAGCCTTGGACTTCATTTGGTTTTTACCCTAAATCCTAAACCCTAAACCCTAAAACCCTAAACCCTAAACCCTGAAACCCTAAACCCTAAACCCTAAACCCTAAAACCCTAAAACCCTAAACCCTAAACCCTAAACACGAAACATCTCCAGCAGTGAACGCAGGCACCCGCCTCGCAGTCTTGAAGAGGCTCTGAAGGCTGGGTGCGGCGTCGAAGAGGGCCGCATAGATGGCTTCACCTGCCACATGGTTTCAAGATGCCATGGGGAACGACGACGACGTCAAGGATGAGGATGAGGTGGCATCATATGCTTGTTCGGCCATCTAGCTGCGAATACGGTTGCTACATCCAAGGTGTCTTACAGAACCTTGCGCCTTTGCCAACCATATCATCCACTGTCTTTTCAGCTGTTGTCGTCTCTTCTTCCTGAACCTGCCAGCTATGTCATCTATAGTGCCACCACCACCACCGCCTCCACCACACTACTCCTGCTGAAGCTGCTGCGACTGCTTCTAGAGCTACCCGTATCTGTCACTGTTATTCCTCCAGTACTTGCGATCTTAGAATGATAATACAAACAATAGTAACTATAATGCATAATATATATATATATATAACAGAATCTAAATATATATATATATATATATGTATATATATATATACACATGTTCGATGAGAGAAGAAGCTTCGGTTTGACTGGCCTGCTGCTTCTCGAGAGCTGGCCATGCCGATGAATGTTTGCCAAGCCTGTGACCGAGCGTTAACGTAGGGGCCTTTAAAGGGATCCGTGAAAGGGTTCTATAAGGGATCCATAATAGGGCTCTAAAGGGATCCTTTAAAGGGTTCTATAAGAGATCTATAGCAGGGCTCTATATTAGGGGCCTTAATAAATAGAATAGGGTTTTGGGGCCCACTATACCATAATTAAATACACTAAAAGAAGGAAACCCCCAAAATAGTATAGGTAATTATTGAGGCCCCTATAGTAACGAAGAGAGCTTCGGAGACGCATGGCGTGAGGTTTATTTTCAGGGCCTCTTCTGGCCGGCATGATCTCAAGCTTTTTGCGAAAATTGGTAGACTTCAGAATCCAATACATGATCCGGTGGTTGTTTCTCACCGGCGTTCCCTGCGTGTCGGAACAGCACAGCTGCCACTGCGGAGCAAGCAGATCATGATGTGGGCTTGTAGAATAAAGCGGCGCTGGCGCCCAGGATTGGTTAGTCGAGATGTATACTCTTATACAACAAACTATTATGCTATTATGGTATAGTTTACTACAGTTTGTTGTAACATATATAACATATACTCCTGGCACGACATAACCAGCATTAAAACTGACCGAAGCGAGGTTTGAAGTTTTAACTCAAGCATCCTCCGGGATGGGTACTGCCAAACCTTATCACGACTCTTTACGAGTTTGAACCTTTCCGGGTCAAGCTTGAGGGCCTGAGGGACTTGCAAACAGGTCTAAACTGAAGAGTGGAGGTTGCCTGACCTCTTGCGGAGCGTCCCCAACGTTTGGTCCATGGACCGGCCCTCGTACGATCTACGATAGCCCCAAAAACCTAAACCCTAAACCCTAGACCCCGACTTACTAACCCGGTGCCGGCCGTTTGGACTTCCGACGAGACATCCGGGGGCAGATGGAGCTCCTCGAAGACGTTCTCTTGCACGGTCTGGCAGTGAGGAGGAGGATCGATGCTCATCGGAAAAAAAGGAGAAAAACTCGTCGGGATGCTGTGAAGTCATACATAGCGCTTGGTGACGAAGACTTCGACTCATATCATTGGTGTGACAGAGTGCTTTGTATAGAGCCTCAGAACCCTGCACTTGCATATCGGGCTGAGGTATGTTGTGGCTCTCACATCTGCAGCTAGGAACGACACCAGGAGCAGAACGTTCGTCATTGCCAGCCTCACATCATAGACATCTTCACCATCGTCATCATAACCGTCATCAGCCCCAGCAAGACACGATGTAATCATAGTCATGGTCATGATTATGGTCATGACTATGAACATCTGTGTAAACATTCCCAGCATAGTCAATCCGCTCCACGGTTATCACCAGTATTGTCTTGATACTAGTGGCATCAGAGTCTTTTCAGCGGCACATGCCTCAATTCAATCATCCTCACCCCATCCTCCACGCCTCTCTTATGTCATACCTGTTCTCATCAACATCATGTTAAGCATCCTTCTCGCACAAACCAGCATGCAAAATGTCCGAGCCTGGTACTTGTCCACACCTTGCACAGGGACTGATCCGAACCAAACGAATGGAAGCCAATAAGCCGTAGGCTTCACCTATATGATTCGGAGTTTCTCTGTACTTGCAGCTTCCAATTATTTGGACTTAGAGTCGACGTTTGTGTCAGTCTCTTCCACTAACTTGCTGCTGTCATTGCTACCACTATACTGTCCGTGCTGACACTCGGACCAGGTGGTGCTAGTCGCGTTGCTGACACTGCTGATATCATCGATTCGTTGCTTCTGTTACTGCTGTCGCAGCTGTCGCTTCTGCTGATGCTGTTGCTCTTCACTTGGCATCGTTGCTGTTGCTGTCGTCCGTGGCCTTGTCGCGACTATTGCCGGTGGTGCTATTGAACTGTTTGTGTGTGCGTGTTGTGTTTGTGTGGATGCTGATGTTGATAGTAGTGATAATGCTGATGGTGAGACGATGATGATGGAAATGATGCCAATGACGGTGAAGGTGATGGCAATGACGACGGCGATGACGATGATGATGGTGACGATGATCATGACTAATGTGAGACTGACTATGATGCTGATGATGCCGCTGCTGCTAATGATGGTGATGGTGGTGATGATAGTCTGATGGTCATGCTGATGCTGATGCTGATGATGACGGTGATGATGATGATGATGACCACGGTGGTGCTGTGTTGCTGGTGGTGCTTGTGGTGCTGGTGCTGCTGGCGCCGCTGGGGGTTGGTGCTCGGTGCTAGTACTGGTGTTGTCTATCATGCTGCTGCAACTGCTGCTGCTGCTGCTGCTGCTGCTGCTGCTGCTGCTGCTGCTGCTGCTGCCGTTGCTGGTGCTTTTGCTGTTGTGGCTACTGTTGCAGCGTCATCAGCTTCAACCACAACCTACGCGCAACAAAGCTGGAAGCGCAACATGAGGAATCCCGTACATGCAACCCTGCCGACAATTTGGCCTGCACCGAGATCGACAACCTCGTCCTGCACGATACGCTGGACTCTGAGGACTGCTGATGGACTCTGAGGACTTTAAGGATCATGCCTTGCGGTTCACAGCTTCAGGAGTGAGGGCCTTGGGCAAGAACCCTAAAACTTTTCGAAAACCTTAAAGCCTGAACCGCCTCGAACTCTAAAGAAGGAGCACGCCAAGAGGTAAGCTCTGCAACAAAGAAGACATCCACAGTAAAAGTTCGATCTTCTGCGAGGAGTAAACGGTAAACCAAAACACCTGCACCCTGAACTCAAATCCCGCAACAATCTAAACTCGTCACCAAGCCCTTACTCACCTAAACCCTAAACCCTAGACAATCTAAAGCCTGCACTAAGCCCGATAAAGCCGTAAACCTACTGAACTAAAACTCTTAACTTGCCCTAAGCCCTGAACCCTCAACCCTACACCCCAAAACGCGAACCCTGGACCCCAAAAGCCCTAGTACCCTCGTAGCCCCAAAACCGCCAGAGACCGGCCTGACCAGGAGGCTGCTGTATACCCTCTCCAGCGGTCTCCTCCGGGATTTCATTGTCCTCGCCTTCCTGGCAGTCCAACGGCTCTGTTTTTGGAGTTTCGGGCTCCGATAATGTGACATAGTATAGTGCGATATTAGACCCTACAGTTATATGATGTATTATAATGTGGTAGGGTTCAGGCTCAGGGTGTAGGGTGTGGGTTTAAGGTCTAGGGTTCAGGGTTTAGGGTGTGGGTTGAGGCTTCGGATTTAGGGTTTACACTGTTTGTCTGTTTTGGAGTACAGAAGTGAGGAAATCTGAAACTAACTATCATCGTTTTGCAGCGGTTCTGAACTGGCACGCTGCATCCCACCATGATGGCCGTTAACAGTCAAGTGTGCAGCGCCCCGTCCCAACCCGCCCCCCATCAGAAGCGCTGTCGACACCAAAACCCGTTGCGAGCGTTCTGCCATGTTCTGCCAGCATGGCAGTTGAAATGCAGAGGTAGGGTGATGCGAGATGAGGGTTGCCCAATTCACTCGCAAACATACTGCAACCGCAACACTTCCGGGTAAAGGCATCGCAGCGCATGAATGTAGCTCGTGGTGGACATTCATGACCCACAGCGACCATGCACGGAGGCTTCAGTCAAATACTTCCCTTCAGCTGATGCCTGAAGCCAATTGCTCACTCACAACCAGAAACCAGTACAAGCTAAGAATGATCTGTTCATACCTTTCCCCTTCTCTCTGCCCCTCGGTGCCTCGCTGACGATCTCGGTCGGGCCCTGCATAACACCGCTTTAGGACTTGGGGTTAAGAGGTTAGGGCCTTGTGGGCGTAAAGGTTCGGATTTAGGCCGCGAGCTTTGAGGGTTGGGGGTGAAGGGCCTGGGGCTTACGAACCTTAAACCCTAAACCCTAAACATGAAAAGAATCCTCTGCTGTGAAGGAAGAACACCGCTTGGTGACATGCATCGAGGCACTACTCTCAATGCACCCTCTGCAAGTAGAACCTACCCTTGCTGCCTGCTTCTAAGATGAAAAGGCCCTAAAGCCTAATGTCGGGGCCTTAAGGGTTTTGGGCCCATTGTCAATAAGGAGTCCCCAAAATAGTATAGGTAATTGCTTGGACCCTACATGCCCCTAAACGACCCTAAACCCTAAAACCTGAGAGCCAAGACCACAGCCCTCTCTTCCGTCTCCGGAGCCCGATGCTTTCTACTCGGCAGTAAGAACAACAAATACGCCCCTCACTGCAGAACCTGTGTGATCTAGGATTGCAGCGTTTCAGCTGCACTTCCAGCCGGCCCACCCGATTCCGTTAGCAGCTGTCAGACAGGTCTCTCTAGCGGGCACTCATCACGATCACAACGGTAATGGCACCAGGCGCAGCTACGCCATATCACACCGACAGTTGAAAGTTGCAGCATCAAGACCAAACAAACTCCAAAAGGACCTAAACTACTACAACATGCACCTTGGCTCTGAAAATGCCCGCGCCTCATGGTCGTCCGACATGCCGCCAGGCGGCTCTATCGAGCCCTGCGTGCCAGAACAAAGCTTCAAGGACTGGCATTCTCGGGCTTCTTAACATCAGGGGGCTCCTTCGTTGGGGACACTTTACAATCAGGATCCTGCAGTCTAGGGTTTAGGGTTTGGGGTTTTAGTTTTAGGGATCAGAAACAGTCATAAGCTCCGTGAGAGCGGAGAACTGCAAGAAGCAAACGAGTCGTAGTTCCAGCGGTGTGCCTCTCTCGGAAAATGACCCGCTGAACCCGAGCCTAGACCGCCAAAGGCCCTTCTATACCCTGGGTAAACATCAGTCATACTAGTGCCCATGGCTTCCTGGACCTAATATTGCCTTAGTAACCTACTCATGTTGTCCTGTGGCAGTGCAACCATAAGGGAAGTAGGGACCGAGGCCGTCCAGGCCTAGCTCTAGGGCCCCACGTTTTGGCTGCACTAGTTCATGGTTGGGATCGTATAAACATGCAAACTTCTATTCCTTCTTGACATTAAGGACTCATAAACATATCTGTGAAAAATCCGAATAACAACGATACCGTTGCTTTCACAAGTCAATAGAAGCACTCTTCATCGTACTAGAAGACGACTTAGTTCGGTAAAGGTTCTTCAGCATCGGTACAATAGACTGACGAGAACAGAGCTTGCTAGTTGACGCAGGTCGAGGTTGCTTGGAGGTTCATGGGTAGTTATAAGTGGGGTTATAAGTAGGGTAACTATGGTTATAACCCATATTAGGGGACTTATAGCCCGTCTTATAACTACCCATGAACCTCCAAGTGGGGGCGGCTTCTGACGCACAGAAGCGGGCCTTGTGGAGTCGTACTCCAGTCACCCGCAGAAGACTCACACTCTAGAGTTTGAGCCTCGTTCATCTGCGAGCACCAGGCTTGGTTTAGGGTTTAGGGTTTAGGGTTTAGGGTTGGAAGAGGTGTGCACTTTGGCTGCCAGTCTGGCTTGTCCGAACTCTAGGAAGGACCTTGTCGGGGATGTAAAGATTGCACGGCGGGACACAACTATGAATCCCTAATCCCTAGTCCCTAATCCCTAACCCCTAAACCCTAAACCCTAAATCCTAGGAGTGCCCTGATGCGAACGCTGATTTGGGGCAAGTCCCAGGTGCGGATCTGAGAAGCTTCCTTGCTGCGCCCCTCCCTGCAGGACCAACACAAAGCCAAACCTCGACCTAAAATATTAGGGGTTTAAGGGTTTAGGGTTTAGGGGGCTTTAGTCATTAGAATTGGTTTTGGGGGGTATGGTATGCTCTAGTTATCAATGGGAACCCCCAAAATAGTTTGGGTAATGATTTAGGCCCCTATATTAATTTCCGAGGCATCGGCCGAACTGCTGAAGAAGGGCAGCGCTCTTTTTCGCCAGCAGAAACTCTCGGGTTTGGGCTCCTCAAGACTGACACCTGAACCCACAAACCCTGTACCCTAAACCCTCAACCCTAAACCCTGTACCTTCACGAGGAGGATCGTCGTCTAAGACTTTTCGGTTCACATGGTTCGATGAAGATTCCCCGAAACCCCGAACCGTTATAGAAGCGCTAGAACGTGTACTCCGGCTTTGCAGTAAGTGCACACTTTCTTGCGCCCAAGGCCTAGCTAATGCGTGCTAATGCTGAGCAACCCGATACAGGGTGTTTTCAAGTGCAGAGTCTAGGCGGTTTACGACTCACGGTTTCTGTTCTTCTCGGGTTTGGGGTCGTGTCTTCTCGCTTGCCGAGGAAGGGCGATACCCGTTCGAAAAGACCCAGCCGCGAAGTGTTAAATCCCAAATCCCAACCCGAGAACCTTGACGCCCTATTAAATAGTGGCAACTACTCTTCTAATCACCGTCATACCAATATTTGTAGACCTTCCAACATGCTTGAGGACGCCAGGGGGCAAACGGCAGACAGGCTTCCATCCTGACATGCCTGTAGGTCTTGAGAAGAGCCAAAAATAGCAATCACCATGCTAAGAACCATAGCGAGCACGCTGATGCTAATGGTAATGAAGTGATATTCATAGTTTTTCACCAACAATATTCTTACCACTCATGATACTGCTGTATACTGGTAGCATCAAGAGCACCAGCCGTGACTATAAGCAGAGGGCTTTCACCTAAATTCGAGACCGTGAACCTTGAGACCTGAACCGAAAGGCCGCAAATGATCTAGTTTTGGACATAAACTTTGCCGAGGGTTGTACAAAGCAAGGGAGTTGACATGACTGACATTCTAAAAGGGAAGTCTCAGCATCTTCGAGCCCGGGGCCTAAAGAGGATTGTATGCGGCCTGAGGGTCGAATAGCTTGAGGTTTTGGGTTTTGGGTTTAGGGTTTAGGGTTTAGGGCTTAGGGCTTAGGGTTTAGGGTTTTGGAATTTGGGTTTTGGGTCGTAGAAGATTGCCTTCGCTATTTAGCCTTCTCCACGCCGCCTTCGGCGGCAGAGGACCCTTCGATTAAACCGCGCCGTCGCATGTACGAGACATCCCCTGCGTCTGAAGCTTAGGATTAACGAAGCTTAGCATTCATGAAGGGACTGTGTGTGTGTCTCATTGACTTGTATGGCGACAACTTCAGATCCTTCGTTGAATGTTCCAACACGGTTACTTTGCTGCATGTTCTACGATCGTTATGCGAAGATGGCAGGGCATGCACGGATCGTCTCTGTTGCGAGCGTTTCTCAGTACATGTCATGATCACATGACCTGTTACTGGCCGGTGTTGACATGCAAAAGGGGGCACTTTTGCTCTCCCCGGCCGTCTCGCGACAGCAAAACCATGTTCATTGAGCTGCTTGACTGGACAAGGGCGACTTCGGATGACCTCAGCTTCAACATGCCTGTGGACAAACAACAACAAAGTATAACAAAGTTGTAGCCTTGCAGATAGTTCGAACGCGCGAAACCAGGTCCACAACACTTCTCGTCCCACTGCAGTGGCTGAGAAGTAACACGCTCTGTTCTGAAATAGCACTGTAAGCCGAAACTCTAAACCCCTAAAGCCCACACCAGATCTGCCAAAACATTGCAGCAAGCTGCACCCGCTGTAGTATCGCCTGTCCATCAGCTGTTCCTTGATACCGAAGATGATGCTGCACTGGAGGAACCTAGCCGGACCCCGAAGAGAAGGAGCTCAAAATCCTGGTGCGGGTTGTGATTACTAGTTGTAACCTTCGCAACCCGGAGTCCAACCGAGACTATGACATGTCATGCACGGGTCCTCCTCCGAAGATTGTTAGAAGCAACCGATACAACGATAATACAAGGGCCTGGACGCAAATCCAAATAGTCTATGTAGGTTTTGTGAAGCACCCTTTTCCGTCAGCATGTGCGACAGCGTCGGAAGCCCCAGGGGGCAGGAGGTCTTTTGGACCTGCAAGAAACTGACCCTTCCCATCAGACAATACGGCAACCACGTAGGCGTCAAGCATCAGGGTTTAGGGTTTAGGGACAAAAATACTCAAAACTGACAATCGTCTTCCTCCCAGTTCCTTGTTACAACTGCACTCTGCTATACCCAAAACCATGTCAATTACCAAGACCCCCCATACTACAGTCTCCTTGAAGTCGAGCCAAAGCAGCCTCCGTCGGAGACGCCACTGCGGTCTGACGTTTTGTGGCTCTTTTTCGTGTCCTTGGAGACCTTCGCAATCCTGGGAGGTTCGGCTTTGGGGCAATGTAGACTTAGAATAGGGTTTAGGGTTTGGGGTTAAGGTCTTAGGGTTAAGGCTTTAGGGTTTAGGGGTCTTCGGGTGCATCACACTCTAAGTGAAATACGGAATCCTAAAAAATACGTAGTACTACCAACTTTTCAGGCTTCTACGTTGGAGTGAATCCTTCAGGAGCAGCTGAGGGAGCCTCCGTGACCGCTTCAGAAATCGGCGAAAGGGAATTTTACAAACTTACAAGGTTGGCATGGCTCCTAATACGTACTGTCATGATAGCCTAAATCCTAGACCCTAGGCCCTAGGGCATTCATACAACCCTGAATCCTAAACCCTACAGTTCAATCACCTCTACCCAAAACCCCAAAACCTCAAAAGAAGAAGATTTGCACTTCCGAGCCAAGACACAGCTTCTCCAGCCTTGCGAAGCGATCCTGTCAAGTGGCTCAAGGGGGGCTGAATGCTCGTTTCATGGGTTTTGAGGGGGGCGTACATTTTGTTAACTAACAGCAATACAAATAATGACAACCATAATCATGATAATAACAATAATAATAAAAACACTGATTAGCAAACTATATTTGTAGCAGGAACCATATTATACCCATCTATAGACCGACCACGTCTTGTACAGACGATAAACTCTCGAAAGTCCTTCTATTCTACCAGTGGCCTTTGCCGAAACAAGGTGGGCAAAAACCATGAGCCCAGGCTATGCTGCAGAACCCTACAGCCTAAACCCTAAAACCCTAAACCCTAAAACCCTAAACCCCTAAACCCTAAACCGGGTGCTTAGTCTCGATACCTTGGAACCCCAAGCTGAACAGAGCACAGGCACGGCACATTCTCGCCCCAAGTCTTGTTCACGACCCCAAAAGCTGAAAATTCTACCCAAAAAAACCCTAAGCCCCTAAACCGTTAAACCCTAAACTCTAATCAAAAAACCCGAAGCCCCCAAAACCTTAAACCCTAAACTCTAATTATCGGATCAACTCCCAGATGCACCAAACCCGGCTGCCGTCAGCCTCTTCAGCAGCTTCCTCCTCCTCGCAAACGTGGAGGTGAGCAGTGCCCCTTTCTTCTAGGCTTCGGGCACAGCGGAACCAGACTTTAAGCCCCCGATCTTTAAGCCTCGCGAGACTACATCCTCACTTCATGGTTTCAAGATCCTAGATAGAAGCCCTTGCGCCGATTTCCCGAGACCCCAAGCCTTGACCCCCAAACCCCTAGCCCTCCTAGTCAGGCCATAACCCCCGAGCCCAAACGCCAAAAGATCCTCAATCCTAATCCCTGTGTAGTATCCTTATATTAGCGTTTAGGGTTTAGGGTTTAAGGTTTAGGGTTTACCTTAGGGTTTAGGGTTATAAGTGGGATTACAAGCAGGGTAACTGTAATTATACCCCATATTAGGGACTTTTAACCCGATTTGTAACTACCCATGAACCTCCAAGTAGTGTCACACATGACGTGACTGAAGTGCTTCTCACCTTACTTACTAAGCCCCATGATCCTCCACATAAGGTCTCGGGGTAGATTACTATGCTAGAAATATACTAGCCTATAAGGGCATACTATTAGTAACTATTCCGACGAATGACCCAGCTTACGGATTCAGGGTTGCGGTGTTTAGGGTAAAACTTATATTAATGTAGTTACAAGCTTTGTCGTAGAACTAGAGTATAGCGAGGGACGATAAACGGGATGCTGTACAAAATATTCAGACCTCTGTATAAAACCCCAAAACTTGGGCGAATCCCTTATAGAAACCTTATCTAGAACTAATCTAGAAGATCTTTCGTCAGAACCTGGATTTGGCTCCAGCACGGTAGGCCCGAATGCCCGAAAGCCAACCCCAGGGATCTTGAGGTTCTTAGGGCTTGCGGCAGGGTTTAGGGTTTAGGACCTTACAGTTTAGGGTTTAGGGCTCTGCCGAGCTTGGCTTTGGCAACTCGGCCCGAACAGCCACAGGGAGGTTTCTTCAAGATAAGGTTTCCTCAGGCTTGAGCAGGGCTTGAAAGGCTCGGTAAGGGCTTGAACCGGGGTTTCCTGAACATAAGGGCACCGTACTACTCAGGGTCCTTACAGTAAGGATCTTACCATGCTGAGGTTTCTCTACAAGGGTGCCCCCATTCTGTGAAACCCCAGCGGCTCCAGCGTCTACCTAGGGCCTGGACCAAGGGAACACGCTTGTTGCACGCGCCTCAGACCTCAAGCTTCAAATAGCAACCTCCCCAGCAACATGTGCACCGGGTTTGCTGCGACAAGACCCATAGGAACCTGCAGCTTCCATCGAAGAGCACTGGGACCATCAATAATGAAGAGCACGAAATTAAACGTCAGTATCTGTACATGGCTCGACTTTACGGGTCTACTGCTTCAGCCAAGATGGGCGTTGCCACAGCAACTGGGGCCTGCAACACCTGCAGAGATTGATCTTGATGCAATGCCAGCAACGCCTCCCTAGCATCTACCTTAGCCGGACGGTAGCAGCAGCACATGAGGCACAAGCTGACGAAGAGTGTGATGGAACCGCCGATGCCCAGGAAGAATCCGCTCATAGCCAGACCAACGACTCTGCTCTCCTCCACGGAACTAGACGGCTTCGTGGAATGTCCCACGCCAACCACCCAGGTTGGATATGAGGTGCGAACCTGAAAATCACCATATGTACGTCCGCCTGGAGCGAATGTTCCCAGTGCCACCAGGTCCTGGCCCTTCCAGCCATATGAGTCCCTGAGCCCCGAGGAGCAGTCGGAATCCACACTGAACAGTTCCCGGGTATAGGTCTGGCGGATGATAACAGACTCGGCACGCTGCTTGCAGTCTTCCGAGACATTTGAGTAGAATACGAACTTGGCATCGTCATGGTCGATATCACCCCTTACGGTTACAGTGAAATCCGTGCCCCCGTCCACGAGCATCTGTTGCCCAACTATGCGCCAGGCCTCAGCAACTCCCCCGATGTGCAGGGCGACTCCAAGTAGCAAGACTAGCGCCCCAACTACCGCCGTGACCTTCGCAGGCCGGTTGCAGCCACATCCTTCACACATGGTCTCTGCTAGGAGACGTTGCAAGGCGGGATTCTCTGGCTGAGCCTTCGCAA